TTTGGAATTCAAATTTTGTAAGTTTCTAGAGAGAAAGTGAGGAATAGCTAGGGTTCTTGCGTGTTCTTGGGCATAGCTGCCATGGAACTGAATATGGAGGCTTCCTCTTCTACCATCGAAGCTTCAACCACCACCAGGATGAGCTAAATCCCCTCCTAGGGGATTGAGGTAACTTTGATCAAAGTAGTCATGTAGTCTTTGTAATTTAATTTGGGGAATATTATTGTATGTGATGAGTTTCATGAATAAGAAGAAGATGTATTTTCAATTTGTGTATTTACATTAAATTGATGTATGATCTGGGCAGAATATATACATATATATATATATATATATATATATATATATATATATACACCATGTAATTCTTGTCTTAAAACCATGATTATATATTTATATTCTTGATATCTTTATAAGTGACAATAAAGATTGAGTTCAAGAAATGGGATTATAGGTATGTTATGTATGAATTCAGATAGATTATACCAAGGGAAGATGGACCATGCTACACCCCCAGATTAATGTAGTTAGGTAGATGGTTCATGCCAACCAAAGAAAATTTATACTAGAGAATTAATTTTATGTGCTAAAACTTGTAATGTCAAGACCTTGATAGGCCATGCCTAAAGAAGATGGCTCATACCACACCCTAGTTATAAACTAGAGAATTAATTTTATGTGCTAAAACTTATAATTTCAAGACCTTGATAGGCCATGCCTAGAGAAGATGGCTCATACCACACCCTAGTTTAGGTGGATGAGCCATGCCAACTATAGATGGGTTATGCTTAGTCTTGAATTGCATGAATTTCTGGAAAATTATTGCAATTGTCTTCTACTTCTACACTTTAACATTACATATAGTTGTTTCCCCAAGTTAATTACATTAAAACATGATTACGAGGACTTGGTGAACTCAATTCCCTAGCCTCCCTTTAATTGTTATTTTAATCTTTGAATTCAATTTATTTTTATTTAATTTTTTATGCAAGCGACGAACAAACAAACAACTCTTCAAACCATCTTGTGACATTAACAAACATCAATTTAGTCTTTGAAATCTGATTTCTATAAGCTTTGCAATATTCAGGATCGATACCCCTACTTAGTTGCATTCTTAGTGAATTCGTGCTCTAGTCGCTGGTTTTATAATTGGCGCCGCCTTGCGCGACACATCAATTTTTGGCGCCGTTGCCAAAGATTGCAATCGGCTTTGTGTTAAAAAAATTCAAAGATTAAATTCAGTTTTTTCGTAAATATAATTTTATAGATATTTTTCTGTTTTTCATTTGTTTGCCAAGTGTTTTGAGTGCAGATTTGAAGCAAAGGGGCTGTGTTGAGGTGTTTTTCATGTGCTGAAAAATTCTGAAAAAATTCTGGAATATTGGAGAAATTGTACCCTTTTGTAAGTGTTTCAAAGTTAATATTTGCTGCATTTAATTTCTTGGTATTTTTGGGTTTTATATGGATGCATGCTAGTTGATGTTGAGTCGTAGGTCTTTAACATTTCCAATCATTGAAGAGCAAGTTGACATAGTTTCATTAGAAAGAACTCTTAGATAACAGAAAAGGAACTTTAGGGATCCCAAAAATTTAAGAGAACTTGAAATTGAAGTTAACAACATGGCTACAAATGTGGAAAATGCTATAGACAATGTTAGGGTTGAAATTCCTAGAGTCAATAATGATGAAATTGCTAATGAAAATGTAGCACCCATGACTCTTAGAGACCATTTTATCCCATCAACATATGCATCTCCATCTTGCATTGTCATGCCCAATATTGATGCCCATTGATAAGTGTTGAAATATTACACATTTCAGCACTAATCTCGGGTATTTTAGTCCTTTCATCTATCTTTATTTTTTCGTTTTAGTCCTAATTTGTGTTTTTGTCTATTTCAGATCAATAAGGTTCAAACGGGCTAAAAACAGTTCATTAAAGCCTTTTTGGAGTCAAGCAAATGCATCGAGAAAATCTGAAAAAAGTCAGAAAAATGCCAAGTTATGGGCCTGCGATCGATTGCAACTTCCTTGAAATCGATCGCAAGGCCACATCATCGATCGTGCCACGTCAGCAATGTGGATAAACCAACAAGACTGTTCACAAAATTCTTGGTTGATCGCAAGGAATTCATGATCGATCGCACTGACACGTCAGCAGCCGAGTCAACGGATAAGGCAGCAAGTTGTTAAGATAAGAAGGCCACATCATCACGATCGATCGTAGAGAACGTACGATCGATCGTAAATTACTGGCAGTGAGCTGTTTTATTTCTCAGCTTAGCCCAATCTTCACCTACCAAATGGCTACGGGATTAAATGATTTTGGGGCTTATTTTTGGTCTATTTTGGCCTCCAAGGGTTAGCTAATTTTGATATTTTCTGGAGAGAGAAAGTTAGAGATACGTATTAAGGTTTTGAAGTGGAGGCAAAGATCTCTATAAGAGCCATTTCTCTAGGGTTTCAAGCATCAAGACAAGGAGGAAGAAGATGAATCAAGCCATGAAGATGGATCTTGGAGTTACCATGACCACATCTACACCCTTCATGAGTGGCTAGACTTCTCCTTAAGGCTTGGATGAGCCCTTAGCTTGTAATCTAAACCCTCGTCTTTCATCTTTTAGGGGAATTAATGTTGTAATTGATGCTATAACCATGTGTGTATAATGAAATTTAGGTTTTCCTATGATTTCTATGGTTAAATTCTTCCTAATAATTCTCTATATTGGTTACATGTCTATGTGTGATTAATTGAGAATTTAGTGATGGCTATGCATGGATTTCACTAGATGCACTTGATGATTAATTTGATAGATTATGCTTATGCTTGATCGATTGCACTACACCTAGTTTTATTGTTTTATCTTAATTGTAGTTAAATTACGTATCAATTTCAGTTAGGTAGACAATCCATGCTTGAATTTGATAATCCATGCTTATTATTGCGGTTTGCATTATTATCTAGATTGATGTGAGCTACAATTGTTGATTAATTAGATGGTTTATGCTTAGGCTTGATGAATTGCATGAATTGTACTACACCTTAATTCATGCTTGTAGTTAGGTAGACAATTCATGGTTGAATTTGATAGCCATGCTCATTAATGCAATTAGTAGTCACATTTGGTTTACAACATGATTTTTCCCTAATTAGTTGAAGGCATGTGGTTTAGTGAATGAACTTAGTGGTGATTCCTATGCCCTAAGACTCCTCTCCTATCTCTTAAACTCTACTCACTTTAGTTGAATTTACATTGCATGTTTTAAGTTTAATTATAGTTTAATCGAACCAAACCAACTCTCTTTACAATCTCATTAGCACTAAAGTTCAATTTGGTTCTAGCACGTGTTCAATCTCTTGGGACGATCCCTTCTCATTATACTTCATTGTATTAGTGTTAAGTAGCTTTTATAAATTTTAAAATGTGATGCTCACTTCACATTCTCTAGATATTCAAAAGTACATTATTTTGTATACACACTTAGGAAGCATCACCCATCAATATGAAATCAAATCCAGCACAATCTAAATGCTTCCATCCTATCATGGGTTTGATAACGAGGACCCTTACAAGTATCTTGATGAGTTCTTAGAAATCTGCTCTACCATTAAGATGAGGGACTTTTCTCAACAAGCTCTTCACATGCGTTTTTTCCCGTTCTCTCTAAAAGATAGGGCAAAATATTGGTTGAACTCCCTTGTTGCAAATTCCATCACCACATGGGCCCAATTACAACAAGAATTCCTCAAAAAGTACTATCATGTGAGTAAAACCAATCAAATGCGTCGTTTCATTCTTAGTTTCTCTCAAATAGATGGGGAACAATTCTATGAGACGTGGAAAAGATTCCAAGATCTTCTTAGGAAGTGTCCGCACCACCAAATTTCAAAATGGCAATTGGTACAAGCCTTCTATGATGGTTTAACCGAACCACATAGACAATTGATTGATTCTTCTTGTGGGAGCGTGTTCATATCCAAAAATGCAGATGAAGCAAGGACTTTGGTTGAGAATATGAGCGATAATTCTATTTAACATAATTCTCGTAGAGCTCTTACTTCTAGTGTTGGGAAACCCTCAAATCCGTGCCAAGCACAGACTTTAAGGAAATAATTATCTCAAGTGGATGTTATAGCACACAAAGTTTTTCAGCTAGTGGCACCACATTTCTCCTTTTCTCAAAATTCTTCATCAAGTGCTATGTGTGCATCTTGCACAAGCACTTTCCATCACGAAGAAGATTGCCCCCACACCGGAGCAATTTTCTGAAGGTATGCAAGAGTAGGCCAATGCCATGTTTTCTCATCCTAGACATAATCCCTACTCCAATACATACAATCCGGGATGAAGAGATCACCCGAATTTTTCGTGGAGGCAACCAGCCCCACAAAATTCATTATTCCAAGGTCATGGCAACAAAATCAATCTAATGCTCAATGGCCATTCCAAACTTCTATAAGCTATCTTCCTCCTACATACGATCAAAGCTCTTCAAGTCCAAATTCTGCTCCTCTCCACCTGTCCCAATTGGTTGAGATATTGAACACCAACAAGCAAATCATGGCTGCCCTTAATGGCATGCAATCAATTGTGCAATTAGTCAATACTCATTCCCAACACTACAAGAAATGTGGGTTTTTACGACGTAGAATTTACAGGGCTTCTTTGTTTTGCCTCGTGATAACTACCTTTTACGGGGTTTATAAAAGAATCCTTGTAATTGTTACATTAAAGGACACTCTTTCACGAGGATTTAACAGGAAGCTCGTAGAAAAATATTTTCACGGTGTATTAAAAGCCTCGTGAATATTTAAATATATTTACGGCATATTTGTAGACCTTTAACGAAATAAATGTTCCTCGATCATAAAGTACTAAATTTTTACATTTAAGGCATCTTTTTGACTCGTAAATAAGTTGCCTCCAAAATTTTCCACTCCCGCACCAAACTGAATTTGACACAATTAAAGTCATTTTAAAAATATATACAGAAAAAAGAGAACTTAAGGGTCAAAACTTTTCTCAAACTCCTTTAGCAAACAAATGCGCCAAGTATGGAAAGAGAGAGACCCGAATCTCCCCATCGATAGGTTTCTTTGGATGAATCGTATATTTAACCAGTCGATCATAATAGCAATTTGAGGAAAGAAGGTTTGATTTCCTAAACGTGGTCTCGTCTCAGATTGGACTCCCGACAGTACCCGCAAGCGACCAGCGAGCAGATTAGGGTTTTCAACCAGCGACCATAAATTGAAGCGAGCGACCATGGACGACGGTACGTACCTTGTTACAGTTGCCTCTCTGTTACTTTCATGATCGATAAAGCCCAATCTCCATCTATCGTTAGGGCTAACATTCTAATCTTTTTCACAAATTTTTCTCTATATCTACATATTTTTATGTACATATATTTGTATATATATGTGTGTGTGTGTGTGCGTGTGCCTGTGTGTGTGTGTTTGTGTGTCTGCGAACTGATTCGTGATTTGATCTATTTGAGGAATACATGACTCTGATGCGATTTATAGGTTAGAGTTAAGCGAGGAGTTAAAGAATAGGTTAGGGTTTTTTAATTTTCTTGATGTATTTATGAAAATTGAGTTACACTTTGATGTGTATTTTGAAATTGAGGTTAGGCAACTAATTTTATTCTAGTGGAGTGTATGGATAATTATACGCCAATTTTGACATATACTGGAAATTTATAGAGTATACACACAATCACAGTAACTTTTACTCACCATGCCCAATCAGTCAACATAAGAAAAAATCTATTTTGCAAAGCAGTTTAATATTCTTTCTGTAGGTTTGAACATTCAATTTTTTCATATATATAATAGCTTCAATAAGAAACTCTGTATTATTCTGAGGATCGACTTGTTTATCTCACTTATCTTGGACTCTGCAAATAGCTCCACCCTTAAGATGAGGTGTTATTGATTGTTAGTTTCAAGTTATATATATATGGTGGTATATGATTAAATTCTGTATAGCTTTTTATTGTTTCTTGAGTTTCCATCAAGTGAACTGTTAGTTGGTATTAGTTAGTTCAGTTTTTGATGTTCTTTCATTCATTCGTTTAGTATATATCATGAACAATGAGCAGTGTAAAGATATTCTCAACATTCTTGGTTACAAGGTTCTTTTTTTTTTTTTTTTTTTTTAAATGTAATACAGTAATGTCATGGATAATGAATAGCTAGTCATGAAGAATTTATTGATAGAGAGATTAGAGAGGAGTGTGATAATAATACCATGTAGTAAATATTGTTAATTGGTAACATATAATATAGAGTTTAGTTTTCATATATATAATGAAACTGATCATATATTCCTTTAAAATATGTTATATATGAGTTCATGTACAAGAAGCAGTGCTAATCCATATATATTATTGAGGAGTACTAATACACTATAAATAATATGTTACTACTAAATTCTAAGAAAATTACTACTATAGCATCTTCCTAGTTTGGTACAATAATTTCACTTTCATCTATCATGACCCTAATACCAATTTTATGAGGTTGGCCGTGCACAAGAACAAAACTCTTAAAAATACAAATTGAGTAATATCCCAGCGGTTGCATGCCCTTTCTCAAAAGGAATATTGAGTGTTCGAGTTTCGTTGAAGGTATGGAGTGTGCGTTTGTCATGACCCTAGTACCAATTTTATGAGATTGGGGACAAGAGCAAAGCTTTTAAGAATACCAAATGAGCAATAGCCCAATGTTTACAAGCCTTCTTTCTCGAAAGAAAGGTCGAGTGTTCAAGTCTCGTGGAAGTTTGGAGTGTGTGTTTGCTTAACATTTCAAAATTATATACGGATATGGATCTTTAAAAATATATAGAAGGATAAGTGTGACTCTCCTATACGCTAAGCCTTAAATTTGGTCAAACTATGCCTTAAATGCATACCCTTATCAATAAAAAAATTTGGACGTGTGTAGAAGAGAGGTACTACAAAAAGGGACAACCTTTAATTCATAGGCAATCTAGCTTAGCAAAATTTTCACCCTTTGATTTAATTTGTTTTGTCATTAAAATAATGTATGAAAATTCTTTGTAGTATTATTTATAGAGTATATGCACAAACAAAGAGTAACTTGATATTTATACGCTAATTTTGATATATACTTTAATAATATTTGTTAAAAGTTTGCATTATGACATTGGAAGGACATGCTTCTATTTCTCATTAATCATAGCTTTGTCAAGCTTTCGAGCTAGGTTTGCCACTCCCAAGTTGTGATTAGTCCATGTAAAATGGATTGCAGAATATTTTAAATCTTCAACGTTCGAGTCACAAATCATTGCTGAAAATCTGACATTGCTGTGCTCCATCTAAGGATGTTGTAATTTGAGAAAATTGGTGACAAAGAACGCTTAAATTAAAGCTCAGATGGAGGTTCACTCCAACGTCACTCCAAATTTTTGAAAAAACAAAAAGGAAAAATTAGATTATAAATTAAATATAAGATGGATTACCTATATGTAGAAGCACAATCAGATTTTGAACACATAATCTTTGCACATCACCAATATATAGAAGTACAATCAGATTTATAATTTTAAATAATTAAGTAGACATGAACACATACTGTAAATTTAGGAATTTTTAATAAGAAGCCTTACAGTGAGAATTTGAATTAGATAAGTTCATTATAAGCATAAACATATAGCAACAATGGTTGTAAGATGTGCTAATTAGTCTCAACTATCTAATGTTATGCTTTAGATGTGTGTGTTTCTTGCTAGGCTTGAAAAAAATAAAAGAAGGAATGAATGCCTAGTTACTTATAATTGTATTGAAGGTGTGGGTTGGAGATTAACAATTAAGCAGAAGGCAGAGTATTAAAATTACGCTTGACAGTTCTCTATCTATTCCTTGTAAATTTGATTTTTAATCTAACACTTTACAGTTAGTAGGAGAATGAGACCTCCTTTGCCCACAAAATTACTTTATGAACAAAATTAGGATAAACTAGCCACTATAAGGAAAATTAGGATAATTAAGTTGATCAGGCCAAAAGAGATGGGTGTGAACTTTAGGATATATATATATATATATATATAGAATATGAACTCTTGCAACAAAAATTTCTAGAATTGGGAATGATCTACAACCCTTGCCCCAGACATATAAAGAACACATCTCTCTCTTCGTGCCTTCTTTTTATTTTTTATAACTGTATAAATGATGACTTGCACGAATGATTGATTGCGTGCATGCATGTGTATACATCTATATGATGTGCATGTGAACATGGACCTATATAAGCTATTATGATGGTGATTGAAATTTGAATATGCAAGTTCCAGTTGCATTAATTGCAGAGATCGAGTACGTAGAAACTTAAATAATTAAACTACACCACATATATACCGTGAATTAATCAGCCTAACATATAATAATAATATTATTAATAATTATAATAACTTTACAATTTCTAAAGAAAATCAATTTATTACACACCAACCTTTACGGCCCTTTCCCGACGCCTGGAAAAAAAATGGTCAAGTGTAGGGAATAATTTGGTTGATTCATACAATTTTCATGAATTCTAGTTTTTTTATAATCCAATGATAGAGGCTAGTTTTGGTGTATTATACATACTGCACAGTGTATGAATCTATAGTATTATACAAACGTAAGAGATCTCTACTTTGTGGGGGGTATGTTTTATTCTCTTGCTCAAATCGCAATTGAGTAGTTTAGATTGTTCTCTATACTGGGACTATTATTTATTTATTTGTATTTTGAAAAAATGCCTATGGTTGATTGATGTATGAGTTCTGTGTTGTATATATGAGTTTGCTTAGCCTCACATTGTCATTTTATTATTGTCTAGGAAAAAATAAGAGTAGCTTTGTATTTTCAGAAAGCAGCAATTCATTTCATTGACGGTATGAGTTTCACTAAATCATCCCATTATTGTCTTGTTCATCTAAACTTTGTCTTCCTTCTCAAATTCATGTTCTTATCTAGTGCAGCCAGTGCAGCCGTTACAGCCAGTACTTGTGTTCTGCCAAAGGTGTAGAAGAATCAGAATTTCTATGATTCTAGTCTACAACAAAGGTTAGATACTATGCTTCTTCTTTTTCATTATCACCATGGCAATGCGTTATGTGGTAGTCCCAATTACTTACAATTGGATGGAAGGTATGGATTATATGGATTAATATCGTTACACTTTAAATTTGAATTTGGCCAACTTTAGGTGAACTAGTTTGTGGAATATATACTTCAAACCATGGTCGATGGTGACCAAAATTATCACTTTAAACTTTTAATTTGACAGAAGATGCCTTTAATATATTATTGAATTTTATAGCAAACGAGCCGTATATAGTTGAATCTATAGCCCAATGTTACACATATACACACTTATATATATAAGTTCATTTTATGCTAGTAAAAAAAAGAGATAGATGATGTAAAAGCTCCTTTGGGAAAAAATTGTGAGAGAGAAAGAGAAAAAACTGAAGTATTTTGGCTTCTAAGAAGTATTCTTGTTTTTAAGTATTTTGGCTTGGCTTTGAAGTTTGAACTTTGAAGTGAATGTTCTTCAATGAAGGATCTTAGAAGGTGGTTGAAGCATTGATTTCAAAACCTTTTCTCTCCACTGATTCAAGGAACTTACGTATGCAATTAGGAGGATTGAGATTCAAAGAATGTAAAGGTGGTTTAGTTTTCTCTTCCTTTTGATACTTGAATTCAGCATTTAGTTTGTGATAGCCAGTATAAGTTAAAAGGAAATTTTTATCAAGCAAGCCTAAATGGAAATTTTTATCTTCGTGATGCTAACACAAGCTCTATGGCCTAAAAAATATGTGAAAATTATACAGGTCAATTAGTCATTCACTGACTTATTATTATATTTTTTAAATTAGTCATACGATCTGATGTTTTTATGTATTTGTTGGCATTACATTTTAGAAATATTTTCTTCTGACAGGATTGATTATCACCAGTTCATTAGGAGTAGAAGAATTAGAATTTTTATGATTCCAGTCTACAATAAAGGTCAAATACTATGCTTCTTCATTTTTATTATCACCATGACAATTCATTATATGTTTAAAAAGTTGATTGTTTTAGGGGGTCAAGTGCCTTAAGTAGCTATTTTATTTTTATTATTGTGCATAAATGGAGGTCGGGAAATTGTTGCGGATGGAGTTTGGTTTTCATTCATCGCATATTACGGTGTATAAGGGGTTACGTGCCTTAAGTGGCCATTTTTTTTTATTATAATTGTGCATAAATGAAGGTGGGAAAAATATTGCGAATGGAGTTTGGTTGCCTTTTGTACTCTAAACAAATATTCATATACATAATCTAGCTTAAGACATATTTTGTTTAATAAAATCGAACTTGTAGAAGCCCAAAAAGCCTTAAAATAGTTTTGACATTGTGTAAAAATGGAAGCCATTATATAAATATAATGTAGCCTGCCATACCCTAATGTGTCACAGTCCAGCTAATTGTAGATGAGCTTTTCTGAACAGTATAACAACTTTGTCAATATCTATACTCATGTGACAGTTTGAATAGGGCTTTGTGGTTCTTTTGTTCTTTTTAATTTTTTCCTTTTCTTTTAGGAATAATCCTTGATTTCATCTTAAGTCACTGGAATGGGATTGAATGAATCAAAGATAGTTTGCGCTGTGAAAGTTGAGTAAATATATATATGTAATTTAGTTTCTGTGCTATTGTGGTTTGCTTACACTATTTGGTGAGGGTTCCAGAGGATGGTATAATCATGGAAGCTTGCAGTGGGATCAAACCATAGACGGATAATCTATTTTTTGTCCAGTGTATCAATTGCGTACACATTTGTTTGGACTAAGTATGCTTTTATCTCTTTGACATATAGGAATTCTAGTTCAACCCAATTTTCTGGAGTTTAGGTTATGAACGATTTGATTTGCCCGAAAAAAAAAAAAAGTATATATATTCTTATAATTCTTCTTAACTAGTGGTGGAATCGAACTAGTTATATAAAATTACAAAAAAAAAAAAAAAAAAAAAAAAAAATTAATAATATATTATTATTATTATTATGAACATGTGATATATATATATTTTTTTTACCTTGAAAATTGTTGCAACTCTTGTGGAGTCATTGCCGGGGAGCTTCATACTCATGCTGAAGGAACCAGAGCCATAACTTGACTTTGAAATAAATTTAGCTCCTGTTTATTTGTGTAAATCATCAACTAGTATATATAATTAATTAGCCAGAAAATGACATAAGAAGAAAAAGACTTAGATAAACCTTTTTGAGAGCTTTGATAACTAAGGGCTGTTTCTATACCACACTGTATTAGCCTATTGCTTAATGGTATGTGTTAATGAAAGAGTTAAATGTGATTTTATTTAATTAATACAATCAATCACCACACATCGGTGTTTTGTTCCCTAACATTCAAAGAGGGCTAACCCTTAAGAAAATACTAAAAATATTACTGGAAGTACATTACAAAGACAATGGATAATGTATAAATTAAAGGAATAAAGTATGGGAGAGAAAGGTATTCAAGATTCCTTTAAGACTATTTTGTTAAAAAAATTATATTATCTAATTAGTATATATTTAATAGAAAGTGATAGTTTCATGAAGGGACAGGTTTTTTTCAAAATCAATGGATCATATGCTTATTTTTGGACTGTTGTGCTATGTGATTCTCTGTTGAAAACACAATCTAATGATGGCAGGATTTGCAGCTGAAAGCAAATCAACACAATCTAATGTACTTGATTTCTTGAGGGTTTTTTTTGCATGTGGTTAGTGTTTTTAGACTACATAGACCATTATCAACCTAGTTAGGTGAAGCTTGATTATTTGTCTTGTGTGTAATTTATAGTAAAAGAAAACAAAGAATATATTATTAATACACAACTTGTACATGGAGTGTAATTAGTCAGGCGATTCAAAAATGTCATGGACACCTGATCACTGAGTGTAATACGATCCTATATTTATGGTTCGAGTCGGCTAGAATATATATTCTCTTTATCTCATGAATATAAAGAGATTATGATATTGTATGTTATCATACATCCTTGTAAAAATCTAGTATTCAATTAAGGAAAATTATCTGCTTGAAATATTTTTGGCAGATCTGAGGAAGAAATTCTTAACAAAATGTTTGTGTTTGATTCATAAATGATAATCTTGTTCTTTCCCTTTTTTATTAGCATTCTGAATTTGAGACTTGTGTGATGCAGCTACTTCTTTGGATTTTGTACAGTAGATTTTGCAGCTAGTTCCTTGGATTTTGTACAGTGAGGTGGTTTTTTGACAAGTGCAGATTGAAACTCAAGTGCTAGAAGATTTATCAATTTTTCAACAGAAGTGTTAGGAAATTGATGATTTTCTTCACAAATGGATTTACTTCCTCTTTTGGAACTTTGATAAATGTTGAATTGTTTTGGCACATTGATAAATGATGAATTATAAAAATGTTTTAACTTTTTTGATATATTCAATGGGATATGTTTTTTGAATTGAATTATAACTGAAAGTGATGTGAATTAAAAGTTGTGAATGATTGATTAACTGGCATATATTAAGGGTGTTTATTTGTATAAAAATATATATATATTTTATTTATGGGGAGCTTGAAACCCCGTAAATAAGAGGCCGTATATTAGTGAAAATCCTCATAAATAACTTTTCTAGGGCATACATGGCACCTCGTGAGAATGGTTTATATTATTTATGGGTAGTTAAAATTCGCCGTAGAAAATTTTTCTACGGCATGCGTCGGTGCCTCGTGAGATTATTTACGGGTAGTTAAAATTTGCCGTAGAAAACTTTTCTACAGCATGCGTCGGTGCCTCGTAAGATTATTTACGGGTGGTTACAATTCGCCGTAGAAAATTTTTCTTCCTCTTTTGGAACATTGATAAATGTTGAATTGTTTTGGCACATTGATAAATTATGAATTGTAAAAATGTTTTAACTTTTTTGATATGTTTAATGGGATATGTTTTTTGAATTGAATTATAACTGAAAGTGATGTGAATTACAGGTTGTAAATGATTGATTAACTGGCATTAATTAAGGATGTTTGTATAAAAATATATATATATTTTATTTTCGGGGAGCTTTAAACCCCGTAAATAAGAGGCCGTATATTAGTGAAAATCCTCATAAATAACTTTTCTAGGGCATACATGGCACCTTGTGAGAATGGTTTATAATATTTATGGTGCCTCGTGAGATTATTTACGAGTAGTTAAAATTTGCCGTAGAAAACTTTTCTACAGCATGCGTCGGTGCCTCGTAAGATTATTTACGGGTGGTTACAATTCACCGTAGAAAACTTTTCTTCCTCTTTTGGAACATTGATAAATGTTGAATTGTTTTGGCACATTGATAAATGATGAATTGTAAAAATATTTTAACTTTTTTGATATGTTTAATGGGATATATTTTTTGAATTGAATTATAACTGAAAGTGATGTGAATTACAGATTGTGAATGATTAATTAACTGGCATTAATTAAGGGTGTTTATTTGTATAAAAATATATATATATTTTATTTACGGAGAGCTTGAAGCCTCGTAAATAAGAGGCCGTATATTAGTGAAAATCCTCATAAATAACTTTTCTAGGGCATACATGGCAACTCGTGAGAATGGTTTATATTATTTATGGGTAGTTAAAATTTGCCGTAGAAAATTTTTCTACGGCATGCGTCGGTGCCTCGTGAGATTATTTACGGGTAGTTAAAATTTGCCGTAGAAAACTTTTCTACAGCATGCGTTGGTGTCTCATAAGATTATTTACGGGTGGTTACAATTCGTCGTAGAAAACTTTTCTTCCTCTTTTGGAACATTGATAAATGTTGAATTGTTTTGGCACATTGATAAATGATAAATTGTAAAAATATTTTAATTTTTTTGATATGTTCAATGGGATATGTTTTTTGAATTGAATTATAACTGAAAGTGATGTGAATTACAGGTTATGAATGATTGATTCACTGCCATTAATTAAGAGTGTTTATTTAAATAAAAATATATATATATATTTTATTTACGGGGAGCTTGAAACCCCGTAAATAAGAGGCTGTATATTAGTGAAAATCCTCATAAATAACTTTTCTAGGGCATACATGGCACCTCGTGAGAATGGTTTATATTATTTATGGGTAGTTAAAATTTGCCGTAGAAAATTTTTCTACGGCATGCGTCGGTGCCTCGTGAGATTATTTACGGGTAGTTAAAATTTACCGTAGAAAACTTTTCTATAGCATGCGTCGGTACCTCGTAATATTATTTACGGGTGGTTACAATTCGCCGTAGAAAACTTTTCTACGGCATACGTTGGTGCCTCGTATGTTAATTATTAACGAAAAAATATCTATGTTGTAAATAAATTTAAATATTTACGGAACCCTCATACACAAGGGCCTACAATGCGCCGTCATGGCGCTTTTGGCCCCTCGTACAAGCCCTTTTTATTGTAGTGCAATCAGTAGCTAAAATTGAAACCTAACTGGGACAATTGACTACTTTTGTGAATCAACTTCATAAAAGGGACATGGGTAAACTTCTAGCTCAAACCGTGGTAAACTCGAAAGGGCAATTTGTGATTGATGAACTCCGTCCTTCGAGTGGACAACATCATGAACAAGTCTTTACAATCACCACACTTCGGAGTGGAAGAGTTGTGGATAACAAGGTTGGGGAAGAGATTGGAATTCTTGCTCCTAAGGATTTAAGTCCCCCCCAAAAATCTAAAAATCAGTCCGGAAATTCCAAATTCGTCAATCCCAAGTGTTGAGACATCTTATGAGCCTAAGGCTCCTTATCCTCAACGTCTCAAAGAGTCCACACACTTTGGGAATAAGGGCAACAAAATTCAGATATGTTGGAAGTCTTTAGGCAAGTAAAAATCAACATTCCTCTTCTCGATGCCATAAAGTAAATTCCACCTTATACTAAATTTCTCAAAGATTTGTATACTCAAAAATGCATTTTCAAAAGCAATATTTTAAAGAAGGTGAGGTTAACTGAACTGGTGAGTGCTATCATTCAGCATAATATACCTCCAAAGTTTAAGGATCCGGGTGCCTCGACAATTTCGTGTGTCATTGGAGACATTGAGATTGAAAAGGTCCTCCTTGACTTAGGGGCGAGTGTAAATTTGATCCCTTATTCAGTTTACTTGTAACTTAATTGGCTTGGGCGAACTAAAACCCACTTCGGTTGTCTTGCAACTTACGGATATATCCATCAAGCAACCTTGTGGTATCATTGAAGATGTAATCATCAAGGTAGACAAGTTCTACTTCCCGGTAGACTTCTTGGTTCTAGATACCGGACCGGTCCACAACCCCAAAAGACACATTCCCATGATCCTTGGTCGGCCCTTCTTAGCCACGGCTAATGCTTTAATTAATTGCTGGACTAGGATGATGGATATTTCTTTTGGAAATATGAATGTTAAACTCAACATCTTTAATGCATCTCAACATCCTCCGGATGAAAATGAATGCTTTACTCTTAACATATCGGATGAATTGGTCGAAAAATCTCTCCCGTTCATTCCAAGTCAAAATGTTCTTGAAGATTAGAAAATTCATGATAAATATGAAGAGGTTGGTATCAATGAACTTAGGCAGCAATGGGGCTTGACATGACACCCTTGGCTTTGAAGGCCCGATCCATTAGCTTGGGGCGTTTGGCATTAGGGGCATCCTTTGTGGTCGAACGGGTAAAAGCCTGTTCGTTTGATAAGCCCTTCTGTCTCTGAGAGGAGGTGGGCTTGCTTGCTATAACAAACGCATCCTTCTTCTCCTTAGCCAAGAGCTTAGTAGTGGCTTTCCTCTCCTTTTTAGTAAGACGAGACTTAGGGGCAAGAAGTTCCATGGTAGAATCCGCTAAGGTTAGGGAGGGAACAGACTCTTCCTCAAGGTGAAGATCAATCAGTTCCTTGGCAACCCCACAAACTTCCCTAACAATGGGAGGGTTGTTGGCAATAATTTGCATTTGGGAAGAGGTAAGAAGAGCCTTTGCTGAAGGGCGGTTCCCCCAAATATGTGCTTGTAGATATTCGAGTCTCAAATCTGCAAATTTAGAAGAAAAGCAATTAACATCATGGTCCAAGAAGTCATAAGTACGTTGAATGAAGAAGATTCACTTTGCAAACAAAGCAGGGAGACTAATCGAGATTATTGAGCTCAGGGACAGAAGAAGTATGGAAACTTCCTGACACGGGGAAATCACAGGAAGCAGAGGCACGCCAGGTGCCGCTGACCTTAATAATACTCTCCTTCCACTGCTTGTCAGAAGTACTTAACCCGGTAAACATCACTTTACTAGTACGGGTGTGGAAGTGGTACCTACCCTCCCCATCCCTTATTCTATTTACTGAATAGTAGGCCAAAAGATCAGAAAAGTTTGAACTAAGTCTCTGGAAGTGATTCAAAGACAAAAGGCAGGATAAAATCCTAAAAAACTTAGGGTTAACCTAAAGAGGGGCCAAACTCAAAACTGAGCTAGGACTTTGCTTTGAAGAACATGAGAGGTCTATGAGGCTTGGGATGAGCTAAGGCTTTGCTTTGAAGAACATGAGAGGTCACATGAGGTTATATATAGGCCTAGGGATAGTGGTTTAGACTACTTAGCATATAGTAACAGCAAAAAACGAGAAAGTAAAAATGTTCCAAAAGTGTATTGTATTCCAAAATATTTTTTTTGATGATTGTTTGATAAAGACCTGAACTAATGACTTGTACATTTGTAGGGTCGTAACAAGTTGTGCATGGGTAGGGTTGTACATTAATTTTTTATTATATAAAAAAAGTTATTGCACATCTTTATTTGTATATAATATATTCAATGGAAGACTTTTTAATAGGACAAGCATCTGATGAGGTGGAGAAAGATAGTAGGGCATCTAATTTAAAATTAGGAACGCCGAAAGCTAATAGAATGACAAGGAACAATATATATGGAAGTAAAGGATGCTTGAGGTAATTTCCCTTGAGAGGAAGCTAAGAAAATAATACAATAATTAATATAAATATGTATTTCGCGAGTCTGAAGTTAACTTGATCTAGAGAAAGTGCGTGCCAATTATTAGACATGTAGGAATGATTATTAAGTCCCGAATGATAGTCATATAAATATCCATACAAGAAGGAGAAGAAGATAGCCATGGGGATGTACCAACATTATCTAAAAGAAGCTGCTAACATATTCTGTCTCCATACGTATAAAGTCACATGTTAATAATGTTTTTAGTTAACCAACCTGAGCAAATCCAAATTATATTATCCTTAAATCGTCATACATACGGTTCTGGTCAATTATTATGTTACAAAGTTACAAATCCAAATTATATCATCCTCAGCATTGATTTAACTAGCGTAAAAGAACTCACACACAATACAAAATTTTGTGATGTACCACTTCAAATTTTAATTTTTAATTTTTAATTTTTGCTAATTGAGAGAGTCATGATGG